TTGTCAATGCCATCCATCTTCGGTTAAATGCTCTGTTATCTTATAATTTTATATTCTCATTTAACCACATGCTGAAAACTGACTACAGTGTCGAAAGAGGTAAATATGGTGCGGACACTCAACCCGTGTTGGGTTTATGAAATCTCCTTGCTATTTTCTCAATAATAAAATAACATATCTTATCCTCTAGCTTCTACATAATTTACACCTTGATTTTGTAACTTCAAATCTTATATATATATAATGCTACCCTATGCATTAAATAGGGTATGCATTTATATATATATAATAATAATAATAATATATAACATGTATTTATTATTGATTATATAAATTATTTATTATATAATTGTATAATACAAATAACAAATCAAGGCTAATTGATTTTTCAACTAAAACTGAAGATAATTTAAATGAATAGTATGTTTATTATTAATTATTGCATAGGGTATGCATTTATATATATAATAATAATATATAACATATATTTATTATTTATTATATAAATTATTTATTATATAATTATATAATACAAATAACAAATCAAGGCTAATTAATTTTTTAACTAAAACTGAAGATAATTTAAATGAATAGTATGTTTATTATTAACTATTAATATTAAAAAGATCAATTCATGCTTTGATAGATGAAGAGGCAAAACCATTTTATTTATTTGTTTATTTTGTCAGCATGTTAATTAGTAATAATTAAAACATAAAAAGTGGAAAATAAAGAGGTTAGAAGATAGAAAATTAAGGCTTTTCAGGTCCTTAAATGTAGACATGGGAAGGATAAAAAGATCGGAGATTGGAAGATGAAGAGGCAATGTTATTTATATATTCAAAAACGGAAAATTAAAAGATTGCATTGAATATTAAATAATCTTTTTCCTTACCCTTTCATGTTCCTACCCACCACCATATAGACTCTCACTTTTTTTTGCACCAATATATCATACTCTCTTCATCTCTTTAAGTTCTTTTTGCTAACATGAAGAATTCTAAATATTATTTTTCTTTTGGTTTCCTATTCAATACTGTAACTAAATATAATATTATGTTTTTATTTTATGTGTCTTTTTTTCTCTTTATCCAAAATATGTATATTATTGTATGAACTATTTTCTATATTAATCCTATTATTCTTTTTTATAAATTTTTTATAAAATATGTGATGTTCTTTTGAAAGAATTTTGTAATTTTATCTATTTAAAATTAATTCATTCTTTTCTTTGTAGATTATTAATGATTTTTTTTTTTTGTGTGTTAAGGAGATAATTTTGCTTATGGGATTGGAGTCAATTAAAGTAATAAAAGTATTGATTCATATATTAAACTAAACAAGAAATGTATGAATTTGATACAAATCAAGGTATTTGTAAGAAGATATTATGTTTCTTATTTTATTCATATTATACTATTATTATCTTTTTACTCCTTTAAATATAAATTCTACTTCACACTCTTTTTAAATTGTATATATATATATATATCTAATATTATTGCCACACATATTTGTGTTCAATGTATTAATCTAACCTTTTATCTTTTATTTTACATTTATTATATTGTATTTGAAAAGTATAATATTTTGTTTTCAATCTTAAATTACATTGATAGGTTACTCTTAGTTAGAATCTTTTCACTTCTTTATTTACTACTTTGGTTTCTTTTGCATTTTAAATTTATTTACTTTCAAAGAGGAAGTTGAAAGGGCACATCTAATTTTATAAACTAACTCTAACCAAATATTCTCTTGAATTAAGAGAAAAAAAAATTAAAATTCATTTATTTCATACCTTTCCAAACTCACTCACCCTCAATTCTCATTGCATTTCTTGGATTGATTTTTCAAAATTATCCACAAGAATTGAAATGAATTGAAGCTAGCCATTTGTGAAAATAAATGTTGAAAATAGCTATGATTAGAATTTGTTTTCCATTTGGTACAATTATGATTGCTAATTTACCACTTCAATGTATATCATTTTGGTTTTTAATTTCTAAAATCTTTTGTACTCACTAATATTTTTATATGATATTTGCCATGCTATTTTATTTGTTAGATTGCTAATTTTTACTTTTATTTTGATATATATGTTTTAACTATTTTTATTTTGTTTTGGATTATAGGTATCCAACATATGCTATTGAAACCTCTAATTTTATTGGAGCTTATCTAAGGTATGTCACTTTTTTTTTTTAATTATATAAATATGATTTAGTTTTTTTAAATTGTATATTTAAAATAATATTTTTAATTTCACTATTAAGTTTATGGTTTAATATTGTTTCATTTTAAAAGTTTAATTTCTTACTTCCATTTGTGGTTATGTTTTATTTAATATACT